TCCTATTGGTCGGGTTTCATAATCCTGACACTTCTGTTCTGCAGAGGCTTCCGTCTAAACGCAGACTCGCTCTTTGATGATGACGACGATGAAGATGATGATGATGAGACTCTTTTCTCAAGGCTGAGATCCATGCAGGTAAGAAACTTATTTATTAGATATTCCAGTATCTTGGTTTGTGTCTAATCGAATCGCCATGGTAACAGAGTGTGACTAAGCTGCCGTTACGAGGCCCGGGTGACCTGAGACACGACCTGGAGAGGCGGCGCCAGGAGAAGCTGGAGGCGGTTAAAGTCACAATCCCAGGAAGCAGCTCGTCTCAGCAGCGTTCCCGTGGAAACGTCAGGTGAGACCCGACTTCTCCGTCCTGTCAGTGTTCATCAGCTCTAGGGTTCATTTAGGTTTGATCTCTTTAGGGTGGATGAAGGACTCAAGTTTAGCCTCTGAAATCCACTTTTTATGTATTAAAATAATCCCAAACACTAGCAGGAATCTCCAGATTAATCCTGGTTTCTGTCTCTAAAGTTAGTCCCAGAATTCCAGACAGTAGATGTGATCTTTATTACTGAGGGATTATAAACCAGCAGGTTTATATTTTTGTGATTCTGAAACGTTTTGTTCCAGCGAGCCAGACGAGACGGATCAGGAAGGGTTCTCCCACCGGTCCCAGAATCCGCACAGACGGGAAGGAACCCTGGTGAGAAACGGCTGAGTGGCTGGGGGGGTGGCTAAATGCTGGAAGCTAAACCCTTTCCTACTCAGGGACCCAGAAGAGGAGCTTCAGTCAGACCCAACATGGGCCCTCAGCGGTGGAACCATCGGTTTGGACCCGGGAGGCAGAACCATCCTGCAGGTACCCGACAGCCTGAAAATCCCAACACTCCCTGCAGCCTTCAGCCAAGTGCACTTGGAGGAAGTGTGCTGTAAGGCATCGAGTGCGCAAATAGTTGCAGAGTTTAGACGAGGAGCATCGAGTCGTCAGCCACCAGTGATTCTGGTCGCGGTGATGCTTTTTTAAAAACCTTTATTAACAACTTTCAAACACCAAAACAATTAAATGTCCGTTCATCGCTGCTTCAGAGCATCAACTCATCGTCCTAAAATGAACAACTTTCATTAGAAAATGCGTTTTCACAAGAGGCACTTTTCTCCCGCAGCAATGGATTGTGGGTAATACACTTCACCCAAGTCCTCAGCGATGCAGACTCAAGGGTGCAAAAGGGGCGTGGTCAACTTCCGCATTTGAGAACGGAGACACCCTACGCACTTCCACCCTTGTGCGGTCCCGGCCAGAGGTGTGAGTGCGAGCGTTGGGATTGGGCCGCTATCCGACATCATAAAATCAACACAATCGTTTCTTTTTAACCGCGTTTTCACTCCGATTTAGCCGGTTTGTTGTTCTCTGAGACGACGTGCGGCTGCGTGAGCTTTAATCTGAGTCTAACCCAGCTGTTTGTTCTGGTTTAGGTCTGAACTGATGACCCGACCGGCTCCAGGTTTTCCATCGGAACTCTGATCCGGTCTAAAGCAGCAGGTCCTCGTTGATTCTACAGCTTTTCCTTTTTCCTCGTAGATCTTTGGTTGTTTGTAGCTTCAGTCCGATACCAGATGCTGGTTTGTGTCTTTAATCTGTTGCTTTATGAAGATGTTTGTAGTTTAAATGTCCTGAAAATGTTTTTATTAAAATTAATGTTCTAAAACGTTCCTGAAGAGATTTAATTCCCTTTGATCTAGTGATTAATGGTGTTTCTACTTTTAACAAACGTTTACTAATATTTGATTTCTCTGGTGTTTAACAGCTGCCAGTTTCTGCCAGATGAAGGAATTTTTGCTTCCTTGCATCTATTATCAGGAATGTTGGGTGGAAAAATGGGAAGTTTTCCAGTTTCGGGTGGGTCAGAACCTTCCTGAAGGAATAGTTTCGTCACTGATTTGGCTCAGCGTCGCCGCCATCAGACTGGAACAGGAAGCGTCTTAGGCGCCCAAACACCAGGATGCAGCATCAGTGGAGTTGAGATGTTTATTGGAAACCGCAGATTTCAGACATCTTGGTACTTTTTTATTTTACAACAGAGCTGACGTGAGACCAGAGGTTCCCAGAGCGGGGAGCCGATCCTCGGCGGATTTCCAGAGGAGGGAAATGGGTTTCTGTTATAGATCTAGTCTGACGAGGTTTAACTGGTGGGCAGGTGTGGGAAAGGTCTGGGAACCGCTGGTCTACCGCGTGTCAGGAGTTTAAAACAAAGATGCATCTGATTCTCTTTGTGGAGACGGATTAGCTCAGCGATGGGAACGCCGTCGGTGGAACGCTGTGGAATCCTACAGAACCGAGTTCCTTCTGTCAGGAACGTCGACTGGGTTTAAACGACACAGACCTTCAGAGGAAAACTTTATTGGTGAATCCGGAGATTCCTTCGTGTTTCTAAATTCCAGACTGGAATTATTATAAATACATTTGATAGGATGTTTGATGTGATTCTACAAAACAAAACAACAAAACACAGTTAAAGAGATGAAAACGGGATTAGTGACGTTTCAGATGTTTTACTGTGACGATCAGCTGATCAGAAGGAAAACCAACATTATCCGGTTCTCCAGAGCCGCCTACAGGTGGGACGGACTGGAAAACAAACTGGACTGGAACAGGCGGGCCTTTAATAAAAAAGGTATATCGGTGCAGTCGGCTCAAAAAGTCCAGCTGGAGCTTCTGTGTGAAAATCCAGCTTCTCCCATTCGGTCGCGGCTCATTAGATCTGGAAAAAAAGGGAATGATTTTAGTTCCTGATCTTTGTTCAGGAATATTCAGCTGATTAGTTCAGAAAAGGACAACCCAACCACTAAAGGGTCACTGCCGTTTTCATTAATATTTATCTCTAGGTGCTGATTTACATTTTAGACTTCTGTTCAGTTTTTGCAGAATTTAAAATAAAAATCTATTTTAGAAGCTTTTAACTCGTTCACTGCCAGCGTTCCTCATGTTTTTACTGTTTTTTAAGAGTGACAGAACGTTGAGCGCTAGGATGACGTCGACGCCAAAACAACCAAAACAAAGCGGAGACTCACCTCTTACATCAGGAAGAATCCGCGTGTTTCGAGCGTTATCCGTTCTTTCATAATCCGTTGTTGAATTGTGATCGGCAGAAGCTTTTCCGGTTCGCGACTCACTTTTTTTACGGCAGCGGCCCAAAACGATCTCCTAACACATGGATGTTCTACTTCCTGATCACGTGACGTGTGACGTATGCGGATGAAGATCGGCTTTAGAGCTGGGATGTTTGTTCTCACGGAACGGGGGCTCGTCCGACGCCCACACAGTAAATAGATGTTAATGGCAGTGAATGAGTTAATATTTAGAGATTTTAACACGACAATATTCTAAACCCAACTTCAGCTTCTAATCCTTCACGAGACCTAAAGATAACTTCTGCAGAGTTTCTAGTCGTGGCCAAAAGTTTTGGGAATGACACAAATATGGGAAAAGTTGCTGCTGAATGGGTTCGACACACGGGAGGCGACATCGCCTCTCCTCCGTTCATATTCAGCGCGACAAAGCGATAATCGCAGGTCTCCCTCCTACCAAGCAAAACGCGAAAAACGTGCGTGTGAAATGTTGCGCTCGTGCACGTGTCGTGCACAGGCGACCCAGCGACGCGATCCCAGAAAGTTGAAATATTTTCAACTTTTCATCGCTGTCGCTCGGACGAGGACCAATCAACGGAGGTTTCATTCACTGACCAGTGAGCGGACAGGATGCTCCGCACAACTCCGAGCAAACATGAAGGAGAAGTTGATTATTATTATGTTTTATTGTAAAATCAGAAGTAAGATTTCACATAACTCTAGCAGCACCTTGTGAAACATCACATCTACCGCTTTATTAACTCTGAACCGCTTAAATAACCTTAATTCCCTCCAACCTGACACAGCCAATCAAAACTACGGAAGTTTCGATTTCGCCGTGGAACAGAACGCGTAGACGGCTTTGCCGCTGCCGCGGGTCGCCTCCCGTGTGTCGAGCCCCTCAGCTTTTATAACAGCAGCTTGCATAAACTCCAGAATGTCATGAAGAGAGATCAGATGAGTTGCAGAGTCCTGCTTTGCCATGGAAATTAACTTAATCCCAAAAAGCACTTTCCACTGCATTTTATTGCCGTCATTAAAGGACCTGCTGAGATCAGCTCCGTAATCATCTTGTTAACTCAGGAGAGAAGGCTGCAGATCATTATGTCAGGCTGACTGGGTTGGAACGGCAGACTTGACATGTTAAAGGAGGCTGATGCTTGAAATCATTGTTCTTCCATTGGTAACCATGGTGACCAGCAAAGAAACACGTGCAGCCATCATTGCGTTGCATAAAAATGGCTTCACAGGCAAGTGTGGCTACAAGACTGCACCTGAATCAACAATTTATAGGATCATCAAGACCTTCAGAGAAAGAGGTTCAGTTCCTGTTCAGAAGGCTTCAGGGCGTCCAAGAAAGTCCAGCAAGCACCAGGATCGTCTCCTAGCGAGGATTCAGCTGCGGGATCGGAGCGCCACCAGGAATGGCAGCAGGCAGGTGTGAGCACATCTGCACGCACAGTGAGGCGAAGACTTTTTGAAGATGTTCTGGTGTCAAGAAGGGCAGCAAAGAAGCCACTTCTCCCCAAAAAAAACATCAGGGACAGATTGATCTTCTGCTAAAAGTATGGCGAACGGACTGCTGAGGACTGAGGCAAAGTCTGATTCTCCGATGAAAACCCTTTCCGATAGTTTGGGGCATCTGGAAAACCGCTTTTCCGGAGAAGGAAAGCTGAGCGCTACCATCAGTCCTGTGTCACGCCAACAGTAAAGCATCCTGAGACCACTGACATTAAGATCTGGGCCATGCGTTTTGGTCCTTGTGGCGCGGTGCTCCATCGTGCTGGCAAACGCCTCGTTCTTCACCAAACTGGTGTGGGATTGTTGGAAGAAGCTGCTGTCAGAGGTGCTGTGGTGCCGTTCTTTATTCATGGCTGTGGTTTTGGGCTAAATTGTGAGTGAACCCACTCCCTTGGATGAGAAGCAGCCCCACACATGGATGGGAACTTGTGGACAATCCTCAGGAGGCGGGTGGACAAACAAAAACCCACTAATTCTGACAAACTCCAGGAAGTGATCATGAAAGAATGAGTTGCTATCAGTCAGGATTTGGCCCAGAAGTGGATTGAGAGCATGGCCAACACTGCAAATGCTGACTCTGCATAAATGTCATGTAACTGTTGATAAAAGCCTTTGAAACATATGAAGTGCTTGTAATCATATTTCAGTAAATCACAGAAACACCAGAAACAAAGATCTAAAAGCAGCTTAGCAGCAAACGAATATTTGTGTCACTCTCAAAACGTTTGGCCACGACTGTAGGTCAGAGGAATTCTGCTCGGCGCTCCGAGGCTTCAGGTTTAAATGATTTGATGTGATCCAGCGCCCCCTACAGGTCATAACCTACACACTGAAGCCAACCTTCCACATGGAACATTTTCCAGGCCTTCAGTCACACGAGAACCCGTCGGGCTGTGATGAAGCTCTAGTTAAACATAACTTACATCATCAATATCTTCATCATCGTCTCCGATGTCATCAAACTGGATCTCGTCGTCGTCTCCGGGCCCGAAGGTGTCCGTCTCGTTGATTTTAGCTGCAAAGAAATGAGAAATTATCGAATAAAACCACTGAAACATTTTTCTAGCAGACGAACATCTGGTTAGACGTTAGAGATCTAAAAGGGTCATTCATCTACCGTACCACTGCTCTCTGGTTATCTGAAGGTAAAATAAAGCTCCAACGGCATTTATCAGATCATCTGTAACTGCGTGTAGACGTGTTACCGTTGGTGACATCAGCACTCTGGGGTCTAACGGAGCGTCACTCCTTCATAACCCAGAACTCACCGTGCTCCGGAAGCTCGCCGTAAGCCTTCAGACTCCGAGCCTCGTCTGCGTTGTACTTAAGGATGACGTCAGCTTTGTTGTCCTGAAACACCAACGGGTCAAACTCAGAACCTTGTTCCCACGGCAGAACCGCAGCTAAACTGAAATATTTTACTAATCAGGTTTGTTTCTGTTGAGGAAAAACAAAAGAGACGCGTCTCGCTCCTTTGAACCCTAAATACTTTGATTACTGAGTGTTTTTAGCGTTGTTGTGATCGGGTTTTGGCCTCTAGACGAACCAAACTGGATAAAAGCTGAACCCAGCGACCTCGCTGCTTCCTTTAGGAAGGATTAAATAAAATTATCCCGTAACTAAATCTGTGTCCTGATATTCCCAACATAATGATGGGATTGTAGTCATTTGCTCAGGTAAGTAACCTAATGAACCAGTTCAGGTTCTGTTTCTGCTGCTGGTTCTGACCCGGTCCTGGTCTGTGTCAGAAATGTTCTGCTGTGTGCGCGACAAACACACCTGGTAATCCCTCAGACCCACCAGGATGATGTCCGACGTGTTGATCCAAACCTGCAGGAACAGAGCACAGGACTTCACTCGGGGTCACGACGGACCTTCTGACCTTCACACAATCAAGTGGGCGGAGCCACATTAATGGTGCCTGAATGAGCACCGAGAAAACGCTGAAGCTGCATCACCTTTCGTGTGTGGTGTGTGTGTGTGTGTGTGTGTGGGTGTGTGTGGTCTATCAGGAGGATCCTACCTTTTTCCGGAGTTTTCCTCGGATGTGGCAAAGCCGCTTGGTTCCATCGAAACACATGGCCTCCAGGCGGCCGTTCCCCAACATTTTAATCACCTGAGCGTATTCTGGAAGACACGATGACATCACCAGTTTCGGGTCAAATGAGGAACTAGCGCTTTTAACGTGGAAAATAATTGATCAGTCACATTTGCTACGAACAACACCTGTAGATAAACACAAATAAAAACAGTTCACACATTAAATCAGCTTCCAGCTTTCTAATCAACACAAACCTGTTCAGTCAAATTAATGTTGTTGATTATTACCTTATAAATAAAACCATAACAGTCCCGCCCCAGAGTGAGCGTTCACATACTTCCTGATTCTGACCCAAAAACCAGTTAAAACTCAGCTTTGTTTTACAGTTCTGTACCGGCAGGACCGCTTCAGGACTCATCACAGCTACTGAATCTGCTCTTTAATAAGGTGTGAACTCCGACTCATGTCTGGATGAAAGCACCGATGGATTTGACCCTTTTCTGGTGATCAGCCAGAACCAGAACCCACCCTGTCCATCCTCTTTGAACACCAGCTCTCTCTTCTCAGACTCATTCTCGTTCTTTCCACGCCGCCGATTTTTTCCTCCTTTACCTGCAAGCAGAGGGAGGAGCTTCAGTTCGGATTCCAGCTTTAATTCGTGACATGGATGGTTTTAAATGTATGAAGCAAGGCAAACACAACCAGATTACATCAGACCCGGCACCAAGACTTAACCCAGGGATTATTAAAATTGGGGGGGGGGGGAGAGACCAAACGACTTGGTTAAAGCTTGAAAAAGACTTTATTCTGTCTTAAATGTCTTGTTGAACAAACTAAAATAAAACTTTTCTAAATCGTAAAAACTTTTCTCAAATAAAAAACGAGGCCTGTGGTTTCATCTAATGCTAATCTTGGTATTGGACTTAAAACTAACATAATTCCGAATAACCTTCTATTCCTACAAATAAAATATACTTACTATGGTCTGAGATAATTATCAGCGACTTAACTTTAATAAAACTGGATTATTAATATAACAATTACAAAAAATAAATTACTTTTTCTCAATCCTCCTGTTGAGGAAAGGAACATTGAATGTGTTCATTTATTTGTATTAAACTGTCAGAAACCTAAATAAGACTTTTAAATGGGTTTACTGAATTCATCAGGTGGATTTCCCTGAAATTACCGAGCAGACAAGACAGGTCCCCTCCGGCGGAGTCCAGCTGAATCAGCTGGGATTTATCAGCTGGTAAATGTTAATCAGATCCAAACTAACTTTGTTATTCGGATTATTTAGTCATTATTTGACTTTCTGACGGATCTGTAACGGGCTGCGATGTGCGCGGCAGCTAACCGGAGTTAGCCGGCCCGGGTCACGTTTTCCCACAGCAGGCTAAACCACCAGCGATAGATTTACCAGCAACAACACGCTCCTTCTGCGTCCCTTACCTTTATTTTTGGGCATATTCTTTCACACCGCGGTCACGTTAACTCCGCTCCGTTTAGCTGTAACACGATAACTGTTCACGGGAGTCAGAGAAGCCTGAGCGCTAAGCTAGCATGTAACGATGAAGAAGCTACTCAGTGGAGAGGCTGAACGCCGGTGTGCGCATGCGCGGGACAAGGTATTCAAAACGTTCAAGCTTTATTTTCATTCGTAAAACAAGTCAAGTTTCCTTTATTCCGTTGCAAAAATAAAACAAAAGAAGCACAGAAGAGTAGGAGACGGAACAAGGAGAATGAGAAAGTTCAGCTATAAGGATAATGGTACCGGTTATGACACATGATGGTAAAGAGACGAGTTAATTAAGACTAATAAATACTTTTAATTGACATACATTTTACAAGAGAATCTGAGATTTCAGATGCCAGTGGAAATTGTTTTTATTAAATTCTAGTCAGACATGAAGGGCTTACTCAGTGAAAAGGCAGAGGAAGTGACATCACTGCTGCACTTCTGAGCTTGTTTCTCTGATTAGTGTAGGGTGACCATAGGCGTCATTTTAACCGGGGACGCCGGGGACATGTCCCCGGCAAAATTTGTGATTGGCAGCTGTGTCCCCCCCACTTTCAAAAAATCCTGCTGATGAGGATTTTTGTTTTACCAGCTCAGATCTTATACCAGGGGTCGGCAACCTGTTCCCATCAAAGAGCCATTATTACCCGTTACCCACAGTAATGAAAACACTGGGAGCCACAGCAGCGCAGCGTTGTGGGCGGGGCCTACCCTCAGACAGCAGAGAGCTGCTCACAACAGGTGACAGCAGCCGGTACCATGGGCGTCGCACCCGTGGGGGATGCAACACCCACACTTTTCCAGTTTTGCTCACCTCCACTCCAGTCTGGTTTCTTTACGTTGCACTCACTCTGTTTGCCTCATCTCCTTCTTCACCTCCCCTATTCTGACAGCCGATGTCGGGTTCAAGGAGAGCAGGAGAGGGAGGGACGGAAGAGCTCGACTGAATTCATCATTTTACATCTTGACATTAGCTGTACAAAGTCTGAGTTTGATCAAGTGAAGAACAACAATTTGCAGAGGTTTATAACAGGCGCAGCGCCAGGTTTTCATTTTTGGGTGGGCCACGGTAATTTTGGACGGACCTTAATAAGCAGTGACTTAGTGATGCAGGCAGGTCGCGCTAGAAAATTTCGTTTAAAAAGACGTCATAAATGTGTTCCCCCGTCATTTTTATTTCTAAAATATGAAGTAAAAACTCCCAATTTAATTTTCATTCATTTGTCATTAATATGTAGTCTACACCCGTGCGTTAAGTGGACCATCTTCCAGCATCCAGCCCACCTCTCCAAATGCGTAAAATGTGCATCACAGCCACTAGGCGCACCGCGCGCACCGTCAGCTGTCAGCCCAGACAACAGCAGAGCAACTAGAGAAAGAATCAAGGGCGTCAGTTTGTTTTCAGAATTGCTGGGGACAATAACCATACACTTGAGTGGGGTTTAAAAATTGCTAGGGACAATAAAGTAGGCTAGCTCAGGGGTCGGCAACCCGCGGCTCTGGAGCCGCATGCGGCTCTTCCATCCATCTGATGCGGCTCTCTGTGCTTGTAAAATAATGAATGGATATTTAAATAAAAATCTTTATATTTTACTGCATTAATTTTACATCTGTATGCCGATTCTAAATGTAAAGATTGTCTGCGTAAACCTGAACAGTTCCAACCCGGTCTTACTGTGAGACCGGGTTGATGGATCACGCTTGTGCCTAATCATATCGGCGCTTTCTGAGCTGAAGAGGATGTGAGATTCTGGGATTCTCCTCAGACGGCTCCTGGATGTGTCGCCACATTGGAGACAGGAACAAGCGCTATTCAGCCAAAGTTTCATAATCAGGGAACATTTTCTAAGTGACAAGTCTCTCTGAGCTCTGAGAGACAGGGTTTGGAAAACACTCGCTTCAGTGGGAGGAACCTTCCCGCATGCGCTCTGGTTCTGCGACGCGCTCCAAGCTAATCTCCACAACTTCAGCTCGCTGTGCACCTTATGTAGTACACGCTGACAGCGAGCTGCGCTGAGCAGTGTCCAGCTCAGATGTTCGGATGGAAATCTTTTCTTGAGTGATTTAGCTACATCTGCGATTTAAGTGGAATAAAATGTCAGTTCGTCTGCATGCGTCGGGGTAATCCTTTCTATTCTTTCTCCGTCAAAATAAACGGTCAAACACGGGAACTGTCCGGTCAACACAACACAAGCCCTCCTTTTAACTGTTCTGTTTTCTTGTGAAAATTGTTGCAAATTTAACTTGATTAACACCAGAGCCAGGCGCACTGCGCCGTTATCTCCGTCACTGTAAACGAGGGAAAAACAAAATGATCGGATCCTTTTCTGACCTTCCCCACCTACAAAGTTTAATTACAACAATCAAACGTGACAGAGCCTGGATTTGTATTCTGAACAGTCTAAACATGTTTTAAAAAGAAACGTATGACAAAAGTGGCACCTGCTCAGTAAAACCACCAACAGGGTGAAAAATATCAAAATATTGTAGCAGAGACGGGCTACAACTTCTGGATCCACTTTATATAAATCGTTTTATTGATTATCGTCTTATGAAAGATAACTTTGACGTACACGAGCGACCAGGCGCGTTGCAAGCTTTTCAAAAGTGTGGGGGATGTTGTCTGTGCCTAAAATAAGTTCATGCTATTCATCTTGTTAGTTTAATTTCCATAATAGCGGAGCAGGTGCGAATTTTATACGCGTCACACATGTCTCCGTTTTAAACATGTTTAAACTGTTCAGAATCTGTTCTCGTTAGATTGGTGTAACTAAAGTTTGTACTGAATGAAACTTTATTTTAGCTGCTATTAAAACTATGTATAAAAATAGTAATAGTTCCATCAAGTTGAAGGGCGGTACTTCTGCCAGATTTAATATTTGTAGAGGTATCCATCAAGGATGCCCCATCTCCCCCTATTTATTTATTTTAGTGAGTCAAATTCTGGCCTATCACATATATTCTAGTCCTCTTAAAGGTATAACAGTAGCTGGAAGAAGCTTAATACTAACTCAACTGGCTAATGACACGACCTTATTTTTAAGAGATCACTCTCAAATTTCTGTGGCAATCAATGTAATAAATACCTTTTCCAATGTATCCGGCCAACATTTAAATATTAAAAAATGTGAACTCATGGCAATTAAAAATTGTTCTGAATGTGAATTTGAGAATATACCTGTCCAAAATGAAGTTACTTACCTAGGGGTAATTATCACAAAAAATCAACATGAAAGATGTTCAAGAAACGTTAATCCTTTAATTAAAAATACTCAGAAGAAGATTAATCAATGGCTCATAAGAGACCTCTCTATAAGAGGTCGCATTTTGATTAGCAAAGCTGAGGGCATCCCCCGGCTGACTTATGCGGCCCTGGCTCTGGATCTTAATAGTAAAGTGTGTAAGGAGATTGATCGGTTATTACTTGACTTTTTTTGGAAAAACAAGACCCACTTTCTTAAAAAATCCTCCCTAATGAATGCGCTTGAAAATGGTGGTTTGAACTTGCTTCCCTTTTCTTTATTGAATAATACTTTTTAAATTAACTGGATTCGTCCGTTTTTCAAGTCTCCTACATCTATCTGGCGTAAAATACCCCATCACATTTTATCCCAACTTAGTGGTTTAAAGTTTTTCTTGATTTGCAACTATAATGTCGAAAAGCTCCCCGTTACGTTATCAGCCTTTCATCGCCAGGCCTTCCTCTCATGGACACTCGTGTACAAGCAGAAGTTCTCACCTCACCGCTACTTCATCTGGAATAATAAGGACATTCTTTATAAACACAAGTCTCTGTTTTTCAACTCATGGTTCCAGAATAACATACTTTTAGTAGACCAACTCTTTAATGCAGAAGGTCAGTTACTTTCCTATGGTGAGTTTCTACAACAGTATAATATTCCGATTACGCCGGGCGAATACGCAAAGGTATTTGGAGTCATTTCTCCAGGAGTTTGTGTGTTATTCAATCAGAGACCTAGATTAATTTATAGTCAGTTCTCTCCTGTTTTTTCTCCAGTTCTGTCCCCAATCGGTGAAGTATGTTTTAATTGCTCTCCTAATAATAAAAATAAAGCAATTAGAACTCTCTTTCTTAAAGACATGCCATCTCTTCCATGTGCCGTATCATACTGGAATAGATATGTGGATGACTTGACATGGAGGAAGGTTTGGCTTCTACCCAATCAATTTTTGATCACTAACAAGGTTAAAGAAACTTCCTTTAAACTATTACATAGATTCTACCCCTCTAAATGTTATTTAAAAAATTTAAATCAGACCTGGATGTATCTTGTACATTTTGTGAAGATCTTCCAGAAACAACAACTCATCTTTTTTGGCTGTGCCCTCATTCCAAATGGTTTTGGCAGTCTTTCTGTGACTTCATCTGCTGTAAATTCTCTGTCAATTTTAACATTTATTGGAAGCAGGTTTTGTTTGGCCTTCAGAATATTTTTAATAACTCTATTAAATTTTTTATTAATCTGTTATTTCTTTTGGCCAAATTTCATATCCATAAATATAAATTTCTTAAAAGCAAACCCAACTTTAACTGTTTCTTAGTGGAAGTCAAGCATTATATGCCAGTTCTCACTTTAAGATAATCTGATCCTGATTTATTACTATTTCTGTGTTGATGTTCTCTAGATATATGCTACTGTAATCGGTATTTTTCTGTACACCCACCTTTTTTATATACCCCTGGCACGTTGTTTTCATTTTTTTGTGCACATCTCACTTTTCGTATTCGTTGTCAACTGTGAGCTTGTAACCTCATTGTCACATTGTATATTCTATTTTTGTTAATAAAGGTTTATAAAAAAACTGCCCTCCTCTCCCAATGATTGGACAGGAATTTGAGAAACGTGATTTGTTGCTAAGACTCGTGCTCTCATTGGTTCCACCCAAGTTCCTCCCACTGACGCTAGAATCGAGACAAAAAGATCCATAACACTGTAGATTTCAGGGTTGTACCTGTAGAATGAAATGTGTGTTTTGAGAGTTTTGATTTCAAACTTGTACATTGATTTTTTCAATTTGGAAGTCTGCTAGTTACAAAACGAAAGTTTCATGTTTCTGAATGAAAGTTTGATGTTACAAAATGAGTAGTAAATGTACAAAATAAAAGTTTGATTTTACAAAATAAAAAATACATGTACAAAATGAAAATTTCCTGTTACAAAACAAGAAATACAAGTACGAATTGAGAATTACAAGTTAGAAAACTAAAGTTACAAGTTACGAATCCAAAGTTACATGTGATGAAACATGTTCGAAGCTTCGAAGTTACAAAACTTGGTACAAGTTACGCTGAATATTGTCCCAATCCTAGCTACGCTGAATATTGTCCCAATCCTAGCTCCATAATCGTGCGGACCGTCCTTTCGTAAAACTACGTAATGACGTACCAACACGAATACGTCCGTCTGGTTTCCTGCGTTCCTGTTTCCAGAGAAATTTAGTGATTTATTTCCATATTTCTGGGTTTATTCCAGCTAACCTTCTCCGTCCGGAACCCCGAACCTTTGCGTCGACCACCCCAGGACAACACGATGCTCTCACCGAGGTCAGCGGGTCACGCTGCTCCTGTAGCGATGCTAATGCTAGCAAAGTTCTGAAGTGGGACAATTCACTCCGGACGGGATTAAAACGTGTTTATTTATCAGAGGAAAATGGGTTTGTGTTCAGGTATAAGAAGTCAGACAGCCGGGAGGAATCACCTGCACTCCCAGTAGAGCAAACTGGAGAAATAAGTGATTCTGATATAATCAGCTGGTTCGTTTAGATCGTAAACAGATTATTTTAGAGCTGGAAAGTAAAAACAGCACAAAGTTTGAAAATGTATCTGTGAATAAGAACTATTATGCGTACTCAGATATTTATATGAACAACTAATTCCTCGCGATACCACAGAAACATTCTCCACATAAAAGGGTTCAGATATCAGATCTTCTACCACCTCTACACTAACAAACCCAGAAGAGTGTTTTTATTTAGTTCTAATAAAGTTTTTGTGCTTTCGCAGGTTAGTGATGCTGCGATCAGCTGCATCCATGATGAGCAGGTCTCTGTGTGCAGCAGCATCCCACGGCAGGGCTCCAGACATGGCTGATGGTAACAAACACACACCTGGAGCCACGTGTTAAAACCACCATGCTTTTACACAGTTGTTCTTGTTTATGGCATCATTTATCTAAATTCCACCCAGACACAAGGCTCTTATTCTGAAATCCTCTTAACCTGAGCTAGAGCTGGACAACTGGCACATTTATTATGACTATTTTTGTAAGTTAAAGCCGTTCTATGGTTGATATAAAACATGTTCATGGAGATTTTTGGCACAAAATCACTCACTTGAAGCGATTTAGTTCATCCTGGTATGTAGGCTGCATGGTGGAGCAGCACGAAGGTTGCAGGTTCGAAACTCGGCTGTGGCCTTTCTGCGTGGAGTTGCGTGTTCTCCCCATGCATGCGTGGGTCTCCTCCGGGTACTCCGGTTTCCCCCGCAGATCACAACACGCCCTATAGGTTATAAATTGTAAGTCGCTTTGGATAAAAGCGTCTTCTAAATAATAAACATAAACATAAACATTTCCAATCCCAACCTTCCAGCATGTCATCATCATGTGCTTGTCTCCACAGGAAATCCACTGTTGCACGTGTCAAACGGTGTGTTGGTAAACCACAACCAGTCCTAACTGTCTGACCTTCATATGAATCCTAATGACCTTTAGTCTCCGATTCCTCCTGCATGTTTCCTTTTACCTGAGCCACACCGTTGTGTTGTCAGGGTTTAACAAACTCTTTCCTTCTTCCTTTCTCTGCCGATTCTGTGTTTAGGTTTAAACGTCTGAAGTCTGACACAACTCAGGTGTGTGAGGTTAAATCCGATCCTTTTATCTTTTTTGTTTCAGTCAGAAACAGACTGAGAGAGATCGTGGGAGCTTCAACAAACTGGAGGTAATAAAATGTGTGTGTGTGTGTGTGTGTGTGTGTGTGTGTGTGTGTGTGTGTGTGTGTGTGTGTGTGTGTGTGTGTGTGTGTGTGTGTGTGTGTGTGTGTTAAAGCTTTTATTGGGGTGTTTTTAGTGATGGGAATTCCGGCTCTTTTTAGAGAGCCGGCTCTTTTGGCTCCCAAGTGGCTCCTCAGATTTTCTGTTGCTTAGAGTACATTTATAATCAAAATAATGCTAAACTATATGTAAAATAATTTACTAATGTAAAAAAAAAGCAATATATCAAATATTTATAATTTCTATGGATTTAATAACTTAACACTTTAAGAAATCTCCACTTCCCTACTGCTGGCGCTCATTTTCTCACCGTCTTCGTCGCACTCTTCTCTCTCTCGCCTTTTTCCTCCTCCTCATTCCCTCTCGTCTCCCTCCACCCGCATGAGCTCTGCTTGTGTCTGTCTGAGTCTGATCCTCCCTCTTCCCCGCCCCTACTGCTCTGTGTGTGAACAGTCTGGACACACAGTTACACATGTTGACCAATCGCCTGTAGCTTTCACCAAGGCAGGGGGGGGAGGGGAGGGGCCGGCTCCCGTCGTTCACTTCAAAGAGCCGGCTCTTAGAGCCGGTTCGTTCGCGACCGACACATCACTAGGTGTTTTATCAGTTGTTGCTGTAATACTGTGTTTCGCCACTGGATGGTGCTGTGATGCGTTCACGAAGTCTCTCTTAAACACAAAGATTTAAGTTTTTAAAATCTTTTTTATTTTGGTTCATTAGATGACTCTAAAATAAACCAGTGGTGGGAAAAAGCAGGTAAAGATTCTGTTTCAGATGTTTTCTGTGGTGCCGCCCTTAGCGACCATCAGCAGGCCATGGCAGAGCGCACAACGCTGTCGTCCATGTTGGCCAAGTCTCAAAGCGATCTCCCTGCTAAGAGGATGCAGGACAGTTTCCTGGAGGTCCATCTTCCTCTGGGGTCGGAGCCGCAGCTCAGAGAGAAGTACCTGACGTATCACAACACCGTCAGGTAAACAGCTGATGGGGTCAGAAGGAGTCCTTTCTCATGGGGAGAGCTGATTTCTCTAACTGGTTTCTCAGGTTTGGACGAATCCTGGAGGATTTGGACAGTTTAGCAGGTAGAAAGTTTCCCGTCGGGATTAACGAGCCGCGTCTCTGACTTCGAAGCTAACGAGCGTCTGCTTTTCCTCCTTAGTTCTCATTTCCTACTCGCACACCTACAACCCGGCGCTGAGGAGGTCTCCTCTGTCCATCGTCACGGCGCTGGTGGATAAGATCGGTAAGCGCCTGGGACGGGTCTGGGACACGACGCCAGCTCGGTTCTGATGGTTTTTGTCTTTCTGGGTCAGACATGAGGCAACACGTCATCTACCCCGACTGTGACATCAAGTTCACGGGTCATGTGACCTGGGTGGGGAAGACGTCCATCGAAGCAAAGATGCACATGTCACAGGTAAACGTGTGGTGTGGTGAGGGACGCGGCCGGATCCGCGCGTCACCGCTGCTGATCCGGAAACAGTTCTGTTCAAACCGTAGAGACTTCACTCCAAAGATATGTTCAATCCGCCCGTCTCGTCCTGCAGTTCCGAGACGGGTCGTACGCCCCGGTTCTGGACGCTACGTTTGTCATGGTGGCCCGAGACCCGGAAAACAAAAGGTGACAGAGACGTTTGATCGTTGTCGTGGAAACGGGAATTTGGACACGACTCAACCCTGAAATGTCTGTTTCAGGGCGGCGTTTGTAAATCCGCTGAAGCCCGACGGCGCAGCGGAGGAGAAGCTCCTCCAGGAGGGAGAAAGTGAGACTCGGAGACATTTTCCCGCCACAGGAATCTCAAAAGTCCAATGTCGTTTCTGCCTTTGCTGCTTTTTCAGCCAACAGACATCGTCGTGTGGAGCTGAGCACGGCGTCGCTGCTGAAGGTCGCTCCGACCGACGCGGAGAGGAAGATCGTTCACGACCTGTTCCTCAACACTCTGGACCCAAAGTGAGACCTCAGACGTCCTCTCTGTCCAGAACCACAGACGGTTACGGGTCAGGATCTCCTCCGTCACGGTTCTGTTATTCATCTGATCCCGGTCTCCGTCGTTTTCAGCACCGTCAGTTTCCGCAGCAGGATTTTACCTCCAAACTCGGTTTGGATGGAAGACGCCAAACTGAAAGGTCTGGAGATCTGCCATCCTCAGGTGAGACGGACAGCTACAGGACAGGCGTGATGTCATCACGTCGCTCAGGTTTGAAACGTCGCTTTAGCTTCGGTGATGTTTTACGACTTCAGGCTGCTTCCTGTTTTCCAGCAAAGGAACATCTTCAACCGGATCTTTGGAGGATTCCTGATGAGGAAAGCCTACGAGCTGGGCTGGGCCAACGCCTGCTCCTACGGGTGAGATGTCCACACCCGTACCGACCCGGAACAGCTGGAGATGATGTCATCGTTTGTCCGTCTGCTGTGTTTCAGAGGGTGCCGACCCACCCTGGTGGCCGTGGACGACATTCTCTTCCAGAAACCCGTGGAGATCGGCTCCTTGTTGATGCTGTCGTCACAGGTGACGTCACCGACTTCGGATGTGGTTGTTCGTCACTCTGCTAGTGGAGAGGTGTTACGTCACTTCCTGTGCTCCTGAAACGTGGTTTCCTCTGCTCCGTCTGGTGCTTAACCCGGACGCGTTACTCGCTTTAACTAAACGCAGCTGCGGATGTTTGGGAACAGCTGGAAGTCTGAGTGCTTTGACAGCCTGCTGCTTTCTCTCAGGTGTGCTTCACTCAGGGGAAGTTCATCCAGGTCAGAGTTCACAGCGAGGTGTTTGACCCGCTGACTCGGCAGCACAGCACCACCAACATCTTCCACTACACCTTCGCTTCAGACCGTGACGTTCCCAACATCGTTCCCAAGACCTACGGAGGTAAACGGGAAGACGAGGGTCTTCTGATGGTTGTATTACACTTTAGTTGGTGACGACGTCGTGTTTCTCTGTCCGACAGAGTCGATGCTCTACCTGGATGGAAAGAGACACTTCAACCAGACGGTGGAATCCTGAGAATTCCCAGATGTTCCTGCTGAAGCTCCCCCAGCCAGAAACAAACCACAGGAGTGTTTAACTTACAGCTTTACGCCTTTTTATAATGCACTTTTACACCATGTTGGCTTCCATTCAGTTACATTTTAATGTATATTTTTATTTTTGCTTGAATATATTCCATCTTTTAGTTCTTTTTAAAACACAGAAAGGTTTTATTTACCTGCAGCGTTTCGTTTGCGGCTGTCAGCCGCAAACGAAACGCTGCAGGTAAATAAAACCTTTCTGTGTTTTAAAAAGAACTAAAAGATGGAATTAGAGTTTCAACACAGCAAAGATGCTTGAATATATTATTCCTGCTGTGAGGAGATGTGGGCTCAAGGCAACAAACAAGTAAATAAATAAATGAATAAATAAATGATCTCTGTTTCATATGTTTGTGTCTCTTTTCTTTTGTTATTATAGTAAAAACGTCACACTTGTGAAGTAGACGCAGATACTTTTAAAGCTTCAGATGGAAATACGTTCCCATTTAAACTCCGGGGGCCTCATTCATCGAGCTAGCTTACGCACAAAACGGGGTGGGAAAACTGCGTAAGCAGCTTTCCACGCAAACTTTGGGATTTATGAAAGAAAACTTGGCGGGAAAATGTGCACAACTTTAAGCTGACTAAGGACCTGGCTTACGCACATGTTGGACATGGAGAGCACCTGCAGTGCTGCTGCTGAGAAGGATAACGTTATCCTGCAGCGTTATCACTTGTACCGCTTCATTTTCACACAGAACAAGACCCCCCCCCCCCCCCCCCCACACACACACACACACAGCCTGAAGCGCAGAATATCAGCAGGGGGGGCAGATTGAGACAGAATGTCATGCGTCTGTGAGTGTGTGTTCTGTCACTGTGAGCTGATGCATGCGCCCTAGCTACTTGGACACGTGAGATTTTTGGCTGACTGGTTAGCGCTCGTGACATTCACCCGGGAGTCAGGGGATCAAATCCCGATCGGATCATTGTTTTATGTCGGCCTCAGATCTCTCTGAAGAAGTCAGCATTGACGGCTTCAGCAGCGCTGTGCCACTCCGTGGATTTTCTCTTATTTGTTTTGCAAAAGCACTTCCTGTCATTTCTCCACCTCACCCACAGGTACCTCAACTTCTGCTTCTGTGAAATAGCGCTTCCTTGGTCTGCCTTGATCTACGGTCGCCATGTCATTGGCGGAGCGCTGCAACAGCCAGCTTATGTATATGCATGAGATCCACAAGGCACTTTGCATTGACTATGGCAGTAAGTGGGCGTGGTGAGGGCGGGATGTGACTAAAATGCAGCTGAGAAACATTCTCGTTAGTCTCATGAACACCCTTAGAAAGTATTAAAAACTATTATCACATCTTTGCTCAGGCTCAGCTTGTCAAAAGTAGTTTCTCTGAATTAGCTCTCCAACAGTCAAAGAAATGATTAAAAAGCTAAATAAAACTTCGAGCTCCATCGTTTAAAGTTCCTTCTACCTTCTGCTCAGCGGTTCCACGGTTGCTAGGCGACGGAACGTTCGCCGAGGGAGTGGCGGGAATTCATGAAGGCTAGGCCTGTCCACATTCACAGCCGTTAACATCCGGTCTACTCGGCCGACGGAGGACCCAGCCCACGTCGGCCGAGTAGGCGGGGTCCTTCGAAGGATGCAGACCCTGAATTGAGACACAGCGACAGACTCACAACAACATTGTGACATCATATGGTACCAGCTAACGTTCTAGGGTACCTCTTAGCCAATAGCGATGGCAGATTTGAATTCAATGCAGTGCAGAGTTTTTACCTGACAACGGCACAACACTGACAGTTTTAGGCAGAAAAATAATATTTTTACTAAAATGCACTAAAGTGCAAAACTAATAACTACACGTCTGCAGCATGACTAGACACGCATTTATCTAGTTTATCAGAAAAAAAGTTGGTTTTGGGGCGACTTGCTCTTTAAGTTGCAATGAAAGATTTACACGGAACCTAAATTTGTGGCTCCTGTTTCCGTACGGACGTTAACAGCTGGGACTTAGCAGTTGGTTGAATTCTCTTTGTGGCCGTTTCCTGGTTCAGTAGCATGAAAACTATGTTAACGGTCATCTCTAACGCACTTTGTCGGATCACTGGCAAGAACGTGGTGAGTGGTTCTGGTCTGATTCGGAGGTTCCGAGCAGAACCGGGTCGTGTTAGCTGTCGTCTGACCTTGTTAGCCAACAGCTAACTTCAGGCTGCATGTTCTGGTGCTAATTTATAAGCTGTGCTCGGATGTTTATGACTTATTAAGTTAATAAATATATATATGTCAGTCAGTTAAATGTGGATTTTATCTTTTTCTATTTATTTTATTAATTTACGCTGATTATTTACATTATTTAATTTTCTTTGCTTCTTGACGTGGTTAGCCTTCGTCAAACAACACAACTAGCTAAAACGGTTAAAGATGCACTGATATTGGTATTAATTATCATATATTCGACATAAATACCTTTAGTTAAACTGGGTAATTGGCTGTTCCCTCAGACCTGTTAAATCCATTCATATTTCTGTTAACCCTTTCATGTTTTTCAGCTACTTTTAAGCCCAAACTAACGTTTTTTATTTGTTTATGAGGTTTTAATAATCTCCAGTAACTTAGTAAAATTAGAAATTTGACTCCAAATTAAAACTCGGAGGTGAAAATCATACAAAATGTCTTCTGGAAGGAAATAGGTGGTCTTCTTCGTCCTTAAAGGTCATCCCAACTTTCTTAGTCATGTCCTGGAGTTCTTCTCCAGGTTCACTGATGGACATTTAAAAAAATCTTCTTTAATTTTTGAGGCCAGCTTTCCAGTCTAGACTCATTTCCCCACTCATTTTAGCTTTGAGTTCAGATTTTGATGAACGTTCTCCCATTTCCTTTTACCTTCCCAAGGTTTTGTTCTGTTCAGACCCTTTCTGATGTATTTTATTGAATACAAGTTGCAGTATTTTGGGTATTCACACCTTCACAGCCCTACCCTCCCTGTCAAACAGGGAGGGTAGGGTTGGCTAATGTGACTCCATGAAAGTCTATCACTGCATTTCTGCCAGGATTCGTAGTGAAAGCAGCACGTCGAGTCTGGTGGAGCGTCAGTGACTTCAGGTTCCTGCAGACACTAGAAATAAAACACTCGCTGATCCCGACTACTTTAGCTGAAAACATATTCCTGATCCTGGAACACAAAGCCACTCAGTGACTGCAGGAGTCCTGGTTTCACCACCAGCTTCCACCCTCCTTCCTCCTGCTTCTCCTTCATTCTTCACTGGAAACTTTCATCGATCCCTATTTATTTCTGGCTTTTCTCCCCCCCCCCCCCCCCCCCCCCCCCCCCCGAACTGTAGGGAGCCCAGACCGTGCCGGAGGTAAGCAGCTGCTGATGTTTGTCCGTAGACCTGATCCTTCACTTCCCTCCCTCTGCAGTGGCGATCTATTCCAGGAAATTTTTAATGGGTTTTAATTTGATTGTTTTGTTGAGTCAGGTCTGTTTAAAATGTTTCTCTATTTTTGTTTATTGTGTTTATTCTAATTTGACAAACTCTGATACCATATTCCACAACACAGTCATCAAAACCAGCAAACCTGTTTGGTTTTAATAAAAGAGAACAGAGTTGAATCTAATCTGGATTATAGATGGATTACTAACAAATACATTAAAATTAACTAACGTGAGTTATCAGGTGTGTTTCGTCGTTCTAGACTCGAGTCCTCAGTATTTGTCTCTGTCCACCCGCTGTTTCACCTGTAGACATCTCACCTGTAGATTCTGTAGCGCTCCACTGGCTGTGCTCGGCTCTGATTGGTTGGCTCCTGTGTTCCCCAGCTGCTGATTGACCTTTCAGAGTACGTCAATCTAACATCTCCAGCGGCGCCCGCCTCGGCACAGGCCCAGCGGCAACCACCCAAACCACCACCAGTCAGTACTAGAAGCTCCGCTGCTTCACAGTTAGCTAGAGCCCAGTTGGACCAGCTAGACGGACCAGTAAGAGCTCCTGCAGCATCCTCGGTGTCTGCTGCTCACTAACAGGGCTGGGGATCCTAACCAGATCTTCTGCACGACTCTGCTGCTGCAATCATCTCTACTGTCTCAGAGATGGGCCTATAGCAGGGGCGGGCAATCCTGGTCCTCGAGGGCCACTATCCCACATGTTTTACTGTTTTCCCTGTTTCAACACACCTGATTTCAGTCAGCAGGAGATTAGCTGGCTTCTGCAGCTTGATGAGCTGCTGAATCAACTGTGTTGGAACTGGGAAATAACACAAAGATGGAGGATACCGGCCCTCGAGGGCTGGAGTTGCCCACCCCTGGTATAGCTTCTCTGATGGCTCTTGAGGTGTTTTAGTGGGGTGTCATCTGCATAGAGGAGGATAATCTGGGTTAATGGAGGAAAAAAAAACCCAGATATAAACAGAAGTGGTTCTAGCATGGAGCCTTGTGGGACACCGTAACTAACTTTGTTTTCTGTAGATGAGTCCTTATGAATATTTACTGACTGGAAACGAACAAAAACACTAAACCCGGTCTAGACTGGTTTCTTTGGACTCTAGAGTCTATAAATGTGACTTTTTCAGACTCAAGCATGTTTAAAATGTTTTAATTGTGCTTAGCATGTGATTATTTTTACTAGGATAGTATCTGGTGGGTTCTCCTGCCCTATTTTTGAACTTCATGTCATCCATTGTAGCGTCGTGCCCCCCCCCCTCAGGTCCGTCTACTCCCACTAACCCCCCTGCTGTGAAGAGGAAGGCGGCTGTCGTGCTGCTTGGACTTGACTCACCTACTTTAAGCTGCACTGATCTGATAATGCCCTGTTTGATGTCATCGTTTTGCTGTTTTTCAGGGCGCCAGAGTCGCCGTCACTCGTAATTTTGCTGACTTCACTCCTCAGGTGACCTTTGACATCAAGGTGGGATGAAACGAGAGTCACTTTGTTTTTTTGACTTGTTTGTTCAGATAAAATGGAATCAGAAATGACCACCGACCGCGGGGCTCCGGGTTGGTAGCAGGTGTGAGGTGTTCAGGTTACAGTTTGTGATTTTCTGTTTAAACCCAAAGAAGCCTGTTTACGGGATGCGGGATTGGGAAGTAGTGTAATCTGTGTCCGCTCTTCAGTAGAAATGTGACCTGCATCGCCTGGAGGCGGGGCCTCCGGTGAAGGCGGAGCTAACAAGAGAGCAGGGCCTCCAGTATTATCGCACCATGCAGATGGTGAGGCGCGTGGAGCTCAAAGCCGATCAGCTGTACAAGCAGAAGATCATCAGAGGCTTCTGTCACCTGTATGATGGACAGGTAGGTCCAGGCAGGACTCCGGCCACTCTCCGTTCTGTTTCTGGATCCAGAATGGGAAAAGTCTGGAATTTTTATTCATTAAGACGTAATAAAAACATCAGCAGACCCTAAACAAGAATACAATCCAGGTCCGTTCTTATGGCTTTCATATGGATCTGATTAGATGCTGGATGATGTCATCAGCCTGAGCGCCTCTAGTTGCTCTGGAGCAGACAGGCGTGTGTTTACCCAGCTGCTTCTGCCCTACAGTCTGGGAGGGGTTAAAGGTCATTTCTAAAAGGAATTCGCTCGATCGTTCCTCGAGGTTAAAGGTCAACACTCAGATAAAGGACCAATAAAATCCAGGATACGCTCCAGTTTAAGGTCAAAGGTCGTTAGACTGTTTGTTGGTTTCTTCTGAAACTAAAGTTTACTTTTTACTCTGACTGAACCCATCGTGTTTTCCTACAGGAGGCGTGTGCTGCAGGTATCGAGGCGGCCATCAGCCCCTCGGATCACCTGATAACGGCGTACCGCGCTCACGGGTACACGTACACGCGCGGCGTCTCCATCAGACAGATCCTGGCTGAGCTCACAGGTGAGATGGATACCCCGACCTCTGCCTGGTTTCCTCGCCCGAGGCGATGATGGAACGCTGTTCTCTCCTCAGGTCGTAAAGGGGGCGTGGCCAAAGGGAAGGGAGGCTCCATGCACATGTACGCGCCTCATTTCTACGGAGGGAACGGCATCGTGGGAGCTCAGGTAAGCGTTGGAGCCACTCTCTCTGCTAGGATCGTAGCTCTGTGAGTGACGGACGGGAACTGTCCAGGTGCCTCTGGGCGCAGGTATCGCTCTGGCCTGTCAGTACCGCGGTAACAACCAGGTGTGTGTGACGCTGTATGGAGACGGAGCAGCCAACCAGGTGAGCCGCTGTCCGGACCCAGGCTTGGGAACACCTGTGGTACCAGATTGAGACGTTTGTGCTGTTCCGTTGGTTCTGACCCAATCAGGGTCAGCTGTTTGAGACCTTCAACATGGCCGCCCTGTGGAAGCTGCCGTGCGTCTTCATCTGTGAGAACAACAAGTACGGCATGGGCACGGCGGTGGAGCGGGCCGCCGCCAGCACCGACTACTACAAGAGAGGAGACTTCATTCCCGGGCTCAGGGTGAGTCGGAGTTCTGCTAGTGTTCTGGTGTCTGAGGCGGTCCGGGGCAGCAGCTGCAGCGGTTCTGCTCCCCGTACGCTGCAGCTGGCCCGTTTGGACCCAGATTATAACGGGGCTCGTCCCGGCAGTTACAGGTGTGAGCATGCACACAGCTGTCTGATGCTCATGTATGATGCTGCACACAAACCGTCAGAACCTCTTCAGTCGGAACCACGCCGGGCTCAGACTCAAGTCGTCGTTCTGGTTCTGCTCCGCTGCAGGTGGATGGGATGGACGTGCTGTCGGTCAGAGAGGCCACCAGGTTCGCCGCCGATCACTGCAGGGCTGGGAAGGTGAGGCGGACGGGAAAGGTAACGTCTGAGCAGAGCAGGAATCCCATCATGCATCCCGTCCTGTGTTCCAGGGTCCCATCGTCATGGAGCTCCAGACCTACCGTTACCATGGACACAGCATGAGTGACCCGGGCGTCAGGTGAGCCGACTCTCTCCGATTGTTCCGGGTTGTCGACCTGCTGCTCATTGACCCACGACACGTTTCCTGTTCCTAACGGCCTGCAGCTACAGAACCCGCGAGGAGATCCAGGAGGTCCGCAGCAAGAGCGATCCCATCTCCCTGCTGAGGGAGCGAATGCTCAGCAACAACATGGCGTCTGCCGAGGAGTTCAAGGTGAGCACGTCAGGCGTAACGTGGAAATCTGCTCATCTGGGATCTGGAGCAGAGCGGTTCCTTCCTCTTATGGGTCTGTTGGCGGGTTTCCAGGTTTGAGGAAGTGTGGATCAAAGAGAACGGGGCGAGCTTCCAGACGGCATCCTGTGTGTTTTATCCAAACGCGTGACGCTTTTACCCTGTAGCCTTCTTCAGAAGTGTGGGATTATGGGATGGTGATGGTGCTCCGGGTCCTGCTGTGGGTCAAAGGGCTGATGTTTACTCCTAACTGGTTGGGCCCAGCTCCCGGATTTAGAAACGGGCTCGGAGAGTTTTCCGGTGAAGACCCTACAGGAAGTGTAAGTTCTACAGGAGTTTCACAGCGACGAGGAACAGAGTGTTTGTGGAACCTGCTGGAGACTGTCCCGTTTGATGTTCCGTCTGTGGGAACCCAGATGTTCCGTAGAGGTGGTCGAGGAACCAGAGGAGATCAGAACCACAGACCCGAGGACAGAGGTGTTACACAACTTCCTGCTGATAGGAGTCATTTCTGTTCTGACAGGAAATGGATGTTGAGATCCGTAAGGAGGTGGATGACGCCGCCCAGTTTGCTACGTCCGACCCGGAGCCGCCGCTGGAGGATCTTTGTAACCACGTCTTCTCCAACAACCCGCCGCTGGACGTCCGCGGGACACACCCCTGGTCCAAACTCAAGTCTGTCAGCTAGACCCCACCCCGCCTCACACCCCGGGACCGTTCCCTGGAACCTGCCAGTATTTATTATTTATGTAGATGAATCTATAATTTATTGACACTGACTCGGTCCGCTGCTGCTCTAAGATATTTATTTATGGTTTAAAATGCTGAAGAACACCTGAGACGAGTTCATCCTTCATGCTTATTCAGGATTAAAGCTTTTAAACTGACATGATCGTTACTTTAAGCTGTTTATGTAAAGTTTTTGTTCTTTACTGAAAGAAATGAGTTCAGTGTTTTATTCTAACGTGTAACCAGTCAGAATAAGTTTCTACTCTGACTTCTTCTCTCATTCCTGGTCTCTGCTGTTGATCCACATTAAAAACTCAGATTTCTGATTTGAACTGAAAATATTACAGATAGTCTTTATTTTGTTTATGAAATTTTAGTTTTAAATCAAATCTGTCATTTTCCTTTGTTGTACCAAAGTTTGTACAGAAAGTTCTATTGTTTATGAGGATGTTGAAGAGGGATTTTATTTATGAGGCTGAATAAAAGATTAAAGCTAAATAAAACCATTTATGTGTGAAGGTGTTGTTCCGTCTCCCACCAGCAGGCGTCGCTGTAGCACAGCCAAACAGGAATAAAACAGATTTTATTTGTTAAGCTAATTAAAACCAACCGCATTTGATAAAATAAAATCAGGTCTGAATCTTGACGGGTTCATTTTAAAGGCAATAAACATTTTACTCCTGAACAGCCTCTGTTTACAGCTAGTCAGAGCGGTGCTGCTACAGTTCCCAGCGGTTTATTGTCATTAATCATGGACAAACTTCCGGTTGCATCAACTCCTGGTCAACTGTTGTAGCCGCTGCTGGCAGCATTTATCTTAACCACAGAATCCACGATCAGCTGTGAACTCCGTAAACTGGAGCTGTTTCACGAGGCTTTGGTCCTGGCTGTTCTCAGACTAGCTGTTAGATCATCAATTCTGAGGAATGCTAACCATTTCTCTGAAGAGAGGCTGTTCAGGTGTCAATTCAAGTTCTGTTCGGTCCATGGACGTAATTTTCACTTTAGAAGTGGGGGGGACACGGGGGGAGGGGGGGGGGGGTATCTTTACAGAATGCTCTAATGGGAAACAGGCTTCAAAGCAAACGGTTGTTTTCCACTTGGTCCTAGAGCTCAACCAGTGTCAATTTAATATAGCGTAATGTTGTTTTTGGATGGTAAAAAGTGCAGGGGTCAAAACTTGGCTTTGGAAAAAGTGGGGGGGACATGTCCCCCCCCCCCCCAAAATTACGTCCATGGTTCGGTCTGATGATTGGTTCCTGTTTTTTTAGACTAAAAACGTTTTAAGTCACACAACCAGGAACCACGCTGAGCTAAAGCTGTTTGTTTTTACCGAGCTGGTGTGGCTCACCCCTTGAGTTATGTGCCTGTTGACCTGAATGATGCTGAAGAACCAGGTACCATCGGGACGTTCTGGAGAACTTCTGATCCAGAACCAGCAGGAGTTCAGAGGAAATCACAGATAAATAAAACGGGCCTGGAGCTGACCGGAACTCTGACGTCATTGCCTGAGTTTGGTTCGGAAACCCGAACCGGACCGTGCACCGTTGGGTGACTCATCCCGAACCTGAGTCCAAACCGCCCGGCTCCAGGTGCCGCCTCCCGGTGTGACGTATACGTTACGTCAGCGAGTCTGACAGACAGGTAAGCCGACACCGGCCGCCATATTGGGAAGGAACGGAAGTGAGGAGAAGGAGGGGGAGGGGCGAGAGATAGATTAGTAAAGTCGATCAGTTTCCGAGAAGAGACCCGGAGGCCGCGCTCCTCTGCTCCTCTCCGCGGAGGAAGGGGCGGTCTCTGCGCCACGCCACGACCAGAATTAGCCCGCGCGTGCTCGCTCGGCTCGGTTCGGTTCCTCCTGCCGACACGGAAACGGGACGAGCGGCTGGAACCCGTTCGGAGGAGAAGGAGAGAGGAGTTCCAGGGTCAACGTTAGGAGGGAGGATCAAAGCGGAGCCGACAAGAGGAGGAGAAGATGCCTCTGGCTCAGCTGGCCGATCCCTGGCGGAAGATGCCGGTGGGGGGAGCGGCTGGAGAGGTGAGAGACTCGGTTCAGGAGTTTAGTTCAAGGAGGAGGTGCAGGAGGAGGATGCTGCCGGCTAACTCACACAAACTAGAATCTGACCTCAACTAAAAATCTGTCTCGAATTCTGCAGAAAAGCAACAAACGCGCCTGAAATCTGAAGATTTCTGTTAGAAAGCGTCAAAAATGAAGTTAAAACTTCAAATGTTTGATCTAAAGGTCCTAAAATAACTTTATTACTCATAAAAGTCCTGAAGTGTCCAAGTTTTACTGTTTTATAACTACGTGATGCAACAGCTGCAGCTTTCATAATAAACCAACCAAACTATTACATCTGCCTCTACAGGTTACAGGCCACATGATTCCAGTTTTACTAATATGCTATTAAAATGTTACTAATAATATTTGCACAAAGGTACAATCAATTCTTATTCCACTTTTTGTAAAATATATATTTTTAAACTTGTTTCTAAAATTTTTGTTCAGCAAAAAGGGTAAAATTTTATAAAAATATTTAAATGAAATTTTTTGACTGAATTCAACGTCGTCCTGCGCTCCTCGTGAGGATGAGGTGGTTTACGGACACGCGGATAAAATTAGTGATAAAGAAAATTGGTCAAACTCCCAGAAACCCACTGGAATCAACCCAATCCAAGATGGCCGCCACTGCTGATCAACAATGGTAAACATTTAAATGTTGGCGCCGGTTTGTGATGTTTAGCTGAAACGAGGCGGGTTTGTTGTTGTTTACTGATGCTACGATTATTTCCATCCAAAGTTAAAACTTTGGAAATCCAGTAAAGTGTTTACTTCTGACTGGGTCGGAATCGGCCCTCAGAACCAGGATCGGTGCAGCTGAGGCGTCTCCCTCTAACAGATTTAATCCCCAGCTTCACACGGGGAATAGAAGCTGTTTTTGCAGAAGCAGGAAAACTTGACCAGATTATTGATGACAGCAGCTTCTGCTTTAAGATCAGTGAAGAAAAGCAGGGAGGCGGCTTTTCTAATCCTTGTTTTGTTGTAAATTATTAGAAATATTCCATAAATCTCTAATCTCAGGTTAAAATGTTAACAGGGATGAAGGAGATGCTGTTTTAAATCCCACAGTACCAGAACTTCTGTACAGATCTGTTGACTCCAGAAGGAACGTGTGGCTTCATGTTCCTGCAGGAATCTCACAGCCGTCTCCGTCTGAGGAGGAAAGTTTATCAAAAACTGGAATTTGGTTGAGTTTAAAGCTTCAAACATCGCATTTATTTATCACAGATTAAATTATTTGTGACTAGTGTTGTCAAAAAAATCGATACCTAGATATAAATCGATACTAGAAGTGGTATCTAAATGAGATATTCCATCCCTGTGGTATCGATATTATGGACTATTATACACAGCCTTCTTCACGTACACCGACACGCACGACAGCCAGATGCCGTAAAGCAGCCTCCGCCTCCCAGACAAACAGAAGAAGAAGACGCCGCATGGCTACGTTGCAATTTCCCACGCGAGTTGTCTCCGATCCAAGTTTTGTCTGCCAAATAAATAAACAAAAACATAAACAGCGAATTTGGGAGGCGCTTCACAGCCCAACTTAATTAGCATACTAAGTCCGACACGTAGTTGTATATTCACGCTTATGTGCTTAAAGGAAACTCCCGTTTATTGCAACCCGGACTTAATTTCTAGCATGCAGTACGTTTGTTTACTCACGCTGACAACTTTGGTGCTACTTGGATTCCCCGGGGTATTTAGATCCATCAGCGAATCGCCATCAGTGTATATCCATATAACGGGTGCGGACGGGCGCCCATGGTGCAGCCTCGAAATAAGACATTATCTGCACCAAAACATCTCAATGTCGAAAGGTTTTGTTAGGAATCATTAACGTGATTCCCCTGTTCGTTTGGAGCGGGTCTGGGATTTCTAGGCGTAAACAGACTAGCCGCGGCTAATCAAACCGGCGCTTTTAATGACATCACTGCCGTGCGCCAATCTGTTTTTATTAAGATCACCGGTAGATGTACCTTTGTCCTACGGTGGAGAAATTCGTTTTCTCCCTTTATTGACCAACAGAGTTGTTCAAAAGTACAGAACAAAACATATGGCATTACATCTTATGACAAAAATGCACCTTAAACAGAGTTTAAGCAGCAAAACATCACTCTGCAAATAGTGTATATATAGTGAGACAATTCATGATTTAAAGTGTTTTGTATGCACATTTTAAAAAATGCTGATACTTGAAAGGTTTAAGCACTTTACACACTTAATTCTTAACATATAATTTTTGTAATACAAATTGAGGAATGTTATTTTTTTAATAAACGTGTTCAATAAATTGGTGTTTTTAAATAGTATCGACATCGAGTTTTTTTTTTCAAGTATCGAATCGAGTTTGAAATTTTAGTATCGTGACAACCCTATTTGTGACGATAACCGGAGGCTGTAGGAAGGAAAACGGGGAATTCTCCCTTTGGTTTGGGATTCTCTGCGTCAGGCGGAGGAGATCCCGTGTCTGGTGTTTTGTTCCTGAGTGATGGTGGGATGAAGGAGAGATGGACCGACGGAACAGTGATTGACCTGGATCTACTGGTCCTCTTGAATCTGGAGGTCAGGATATCAGGGTTAGGGAGGAAAGATCTCAACAGAAACAGAAGGACGACGAGGACGTTTGGACAGATTCCTTCTGCTCTCAGACTCGGGTTCAGCTCCTCGTCTTCCTTCCGCCAGTGTTGATAAAGATCAGGGGGCGGGGCCTGTTTAAGGCCTGATTCAGGAAAAGGCGTTGATCTGTGTGAGAGTTTCTACTTCCTGAGAGAGAGAGAGAGAGAGAGAGAGAGAGAGAGAGGGAGAGAGAGAGAGAGAGAGGGAGAGAGAGAGAGAGAGAGAGAGAGGGGGAGAGAGGAGAGAGAGAGAGAGAGAGAGAGAGAGAGAGAGAGAGAGAGAGAGAGAGAGAGAGAGAGAGAGAGAGAGAGAGAGAGAGAGAAACATGATTCATCAAACACTCTGAGTCACTTCTGCTTTCCTGAGTGTCTTCTGACGAGTCCCTACCTGCTCAGAGTTTCCTCTCTCCCTCCACCTTGCTACAAGCTGCCGCTCATGTTCGGTAGAAAACACGACCTTTGACCTTGTAGTATTTTCTTCTGCAGCAGACTATAGCCCCAGCTGACGTCAGCAGCTCCCCATCCCCACTGTAAACAGTGTGAGCGAGTTGCTGCCTTCCTCTCCTGAGGCGCCGGACAGTTTGCCAGAACCTCTTTGGAGCCGATCGATAGTCTTTCTCCATGGCCTCACCAAACTCCTCCCACACCCGAGATTTTGCCTCGGCAACTGCCACTGCTGCACCCCGCTTGGCTATCCGGTACCTGTTTGCTGCCTTCGGAGACCCACAGACCAGCCACGCCCTGTAGGCCTCCTTCTTCAGCCTGACGGCTCCCCGAACCTCTGGTGTCCACCAGCGGGTACGGGGGTTGCCACCACGGCCGGCACCGGCCACCTTGCGACCACAGCTAGCAACAGCCGCCTCGACAATCGCAGAGTGGAACAAGGCCCACTCGGAGTCAATGTCCCCCACTGCTCTCGGGATGTGGTCAAAGCTCTGCCGGAGGTGGGAGTTGAAGACCGTCTTAACAGGTTCTTCTGCCAGGCGTTCCCAGCAGACCCTCACTATGCGTTTGGGTCTGCCAGGTCTACGCGGCATGTTCCCTTGCCATCTGATCCAACTCACCACCAGGTGGTGATCAGTTGACAGCTCCGCCCCTCTCTTCACTCGGGTGTGCAAAACATACGGCCGCAGGTCAGATGATACGACTACAAAATCTATCATCGACCTGTGACCTAGTCTGCCCTGGTACCAAGTGTACCGGTGGGCATCCTTATGTTCGAACATGGTGTTCATTATGGCCAAACTGCGGCTTGCACAGAAGTCCAATAACGAAACACCACTCGAGTTCAGATCAGGCGGGCCGTTCCTCCCAATCACACCCTTCCAGGTCAAGCTGTCATTGCCCACGTGAGCATTGAAGTCCCCCAGCAGGACAATGGAGTCCCCTGATGGAGCACTATCTAGCACTCGTCCCAGGGACTCCAAAAAGGGTGGGCTGAGCTGATATTTGGCCCATAAGCACCAACAACAGTCAGGACCCGTTCCCCGACCCGAAGGCACAGGGAAGCTACCCTCTTGTCCCCCGGGGTAAACCCCAACACACAGGCAGAGAGTCTCGGGGCTAACAAAAAGCCAACCCCAGCCCTCCGCCTCTCACCCGGAGCAACTCCAGCAAAGGAGAGTGTCCAACCCCTCTCAAGGACTTGGGTTCCAGAGCCAATGCTATGTGTCAAGGTGAGTCCGACTATATCTAGCCGGTACCGCTCAACCTCTGCCACAAGCTCCTGCTCCTTCCCCGCCAGCGAGTTGACGTTCCATGTCCCAAAAACCAGTTTCCTTGTCCAGGGATCGGACCGCCGGATCCTCTGAACCGTTCTTTGTCTCACCCTTCACCTAAGACCAATTTGTCATGGGAGACCCTACCAGGGATACAAAGTGCCCCAGACAACATAGCTCCTAGGATCATTAGGGCACTCAAACTCCTCCACCACGATAAGGTGACGGTTCAAGGATATTGTTATTATTGTTTAAGTTTAATATAACCAAGAACAGTCTGATTTCATCTAAAGGTCGATGAAGTCCAACATTAATAAACATTAATAAACGGTTGAACAGCTGATTATTCCTCTTCAAAACGTAAAATGATCTGATAATCGAACCGTCCAGAACCCAGATCACCTCGTTTCTGTCTGGCGGATTAAATCCACCTCAGCTTGTTGCACAAATATTCCAGAAGTGCGTCAGCTGTAATCAGATTTTTTTACTTGTTCCGGAACATTCCTGAGCTTTAACAGGCGAGTCGGACCATCTGATGGTTTCGTTCCTCTCTACAAACCTTTGTTTGGTTATTTTAAAACGAACGTTTAACTTCGTTTCACCCACTTCCCGCCTCGTTCCCGTCATATTCCCACTACATTCCCACTACGACTGATTTCCATTTAAGAGCTTAAATTTCATCCTCTGAACTTTAAAGTCTTTGTTAACTTTTTAACTTTATTCTAAATCTTTAGAAAAAATTTCCTCGACTTGTTACTCATTATTATTTTGAACTTATTCTTTATTTTACACTGAACAAAAATATAAACACAACTCTTTTGTTTTTGCTCCCACTTTTCATGAGCTGAACTCAAACATCTAAAAACTGCCGTGACTCTCAGACGTTGTTCTGAGATCTGTCTACATGTGTGTTAGTGAGCACTTTTCCTTTACCAAGATAATCCATCCCACCTCATAGGTGTGGCATATCAAGGGGCTGATTAGACAGCATGTATAATGTACAGGTGGGCCTTAGACTGCCCATAATAAAAGGACACCCTGAAAGGTGCAGGTTGTTCAAACAGCACAATGCCACAGATGTCTCAACCTTTGAGGGGGCATCCAACTGGAGTGCTGACCACAGGAATGTGTACCAGAGTTGTTGTCTGTGAAATTAATGTTCATTTCTCTACCATACGCCGTCTCCAAAGGCGCTTCAGAGAATCTGACAGTACATCCAACCGGCCTCACAACCACAGACCACGTGTAACCACACCAGCCCAGGACCTTCACATCCAGCATGTTCACGTCCAGGATGCCTGACACCAGCCAACTGGATAGTTGCAGCACAATCGGTTTACATAACCAGAGAATTTCTGCACAAACTGTCAGAAACCGTCTCAGGGAAGCTCGTCTGCATGCTCGTGGTCCTTATCGGGGGTCTGGACCTGACTACCATCCATCGTCGTAACCGACTTGAGTGGGCAAACACTCACAGTCAATGGCGTTTGGCACGTTGGAGAGGCGTTTGGGGGGGGGGTAAAGGTGACACCTTTGGATCCGGTTCCAGTCCTCGGCTGTTTTATGTAAACATGCAGGAATGTGAATCCAGGTCGTCTGATCCGCCTGCCGGGTCACCCGGACAGCCGAGTTAATCTGCTTGTGTTTTGTCTTGCAGGTGTCACATCATGAACTCGGGGACTCGGTGGGCGAGGACGACACCATGTCTTCCTGCACCGTAAGTCCACCTGCTGTCCTGATCTGGAGTCCAGACGAGGCTGGGATTGTGTTTTTGGGTTCTGGTTCTGGTTCTGGTCTCTGACCCAGCTGCTGTAGAGGATTTATTGACGAGTAAACGAGCTTCAGGTGGTTTGACGCTGGCGTCCTCGTGAGTTTCAGCTGCTCTGGTGATTTATGTGTGCAGCAGAGCGGCGACGCCCACGCCCGTTGGATAATTACTGGAATGAAAGTGAAGCAGTTATTAAAACCATGAGTCATGTTGGGACAATAAAGCCTCCGCTAACACGCTCCTGGAGTTATTTAAACATTTTAGCTGATATCAAACGTCATGTTACACAAAAACTCAACATAATGAGACGCGTAAGCCTCCCATCATGGTTTAGTTATCCGGGTTATAATGTTGGTTAACTCGTCTATTTATTTGAACTGGGAACCCGTTGGAAACCATTTAAACATCAGAGTTTGTGGCAGAAATCATTATTATTAGTACGATACAGATGACATCACAGTAGAGTAAATATTTTTTATCGTTCTTGTTAATCGCTGCTCAGGAAAGCAGACTTTAACCGAGTGGCCAAGTTTGGGGAGAGAAATCCTCCAGATCCGATACCGGTTTAGCGTCACGCTGGTGAGTTATCATTAGTTTCTCCGTCGTTACTCGCCTCTCTCTAAACCGTTTTCCTGCTGTTTAAACAGATCTTGGTGAACCTATAGGAAAGTTTCAGATACGATTTTTGAGACACGGCTCAAAATATCGATAATATCGCGATGCAGCAAGACCACAACAACGATAAAAGACCCCAAAACGCTTAAATAACGTAGCTCAGCATCTAGCTACGTTAAATGATTGATGTTCGGGTCGGCTGGAGGTTAACCGGGTGAAGAATTAGCAGTACCTTTATGTTAATATGACCTTATGTTACATTAAAACACTTTTTATGCCTTTTTAAACGAACGCTTGATTATAAAAACTATTTGATGTAACTCTTATACTAAAGGCTCGTGTTTTTATGCTAGTTTGTTTTCATTCTTGTTTATTAAAATTAGTTTATTTAAAGTCTCAAAGGTTTAATTAGCACTAAGCTGCTCAGCGCTGCCTCCTGCTGGTGTAAACTGATTCTGCAGTCCATTTAAAAGGTGATCTCTGGTGTAATCCTGTTTTAATAATCATGATTACGTTTTTATTCTCGCAGCTCCAGTTCAGATACGTCTGATAATCACACCTGGTTACCCGTCTGGTCGTGTTGCGTTGACCCAGCTGGTTCTGGTTCTACCTCCGTCGACCTCCTAAAGCTTCACCTGAAGCAGCGTCGGTCCATCACGTTTCAGACCCGTGTGGTGATGAGGACCAGCAGCTGGACGTTTCCACTCAGTCTCTTTCATCTCAGCTGCAGGCATCGATTTTTAAATGCAGGGGAGATGGTTTATGGATCTGGTGTTAGGGAGGAGAGCTTGGGCTGGAGCACAAACACACGGGGGTGTACTGGAGTGTGTGTGTGTGTGTGTGTGTGTGTGTGTGTGTGTGTGTGTGTGGATACATCCTAGAGCCGTTAACGACTAACTGCTCCTCTGGTTTCTCCCGGGCTGTGCGGGTCGACGTTGGTCAAATCCAACTAACGATGCTCTTTATTTCTACGTCATGTTGCTGAAAGTCGTTAGAGCTCCGGAGTTTCCCAGGAGTCGCCGTACATTTCTGTGGTGTTTATGAGTCATTTTGGTGAATTGTGTTGCCATGGTAACTCAGAATGCCACCAAAAGAATCCTCTGCTCATTTCCATAAATGTAATGTTCTGGTTGCCGTGAAAACAAAGTTTTACACGAGTGAACGCGTGAGAGTAGAAATATTACGGCTCCTGATTTATTTGATGAGTTTAATGAAAGAGGAAGTTCGAGGATTAGAGCCTGCTGGTGTTTTCACTTTCTGGGTTCACAACGCTCACTGGTTGTTGCTGTGTCTGCTGCTTCATGTTCACCTTAGTGGTTATTCACCCTCACACACACCCTGAGCACACACACACACACACACACACACACACACACACACACACACACACACACACACACACACACACACACACACACACACACACACACACACACACACACACACACACACACACACACAGACGGCGGGGCAGAACATGTTTTCCAGACAGCATCAGGAACATCGCTGCCCTCTGAGGGACCAGCTAACATCTGCTCCCATCTGCTGCTATCCAACCGTGTTGTGTGTGTGTGTGTGTGTGTGTGTGTGTGTGTGTGTGTGTGTGTGTGTGTGTGTTACACTAAAGGATGAGGTCACATATCCTCTGTGGGACAGCTCCAGTCTGACCTCAGTCTCTACACGACGCTGCAGTTTTTGCTGTTTTTAGGTGAATTTTGAATCTTTAGATGAATATTCTCTCGCAAACGTTTGCTGCTGTTGTCGTGACAACTGAAGTTTGCCTTGACTGGAATCAGATCAGTTGTTTTTATTATTAATAATTAAACCTGATGGAGTTCTGATCCACCTCGGTGTTCCTTTAAACTGGTTCTGGATCAATTCTCCAGACGTTCCCAGGTAAAGACTCCTGATTCAGGCAGACGGGGAACTCATCATCTGAGGAATGTGGACAAGTGAGGACAAAAGAGGTGTTAGTCTGAGAGACAAGAGCTAAAACTCCCAACAGAGACGATGTCCTTAGATGACCAGAATTCCCAAACCTCATCAAAAGGATTTTGTTTTGTTTTTGAAAGATTTTTTAACTCTTTAATGTGAACAACAAGAATTAAAGCTTCATAAATGTTCATTTTTACCTTTATTTTAATCGAGATCAATGATAATCTAATAATTTTTCGTTTATAATAATAACAATAATAATATTTATAATAATCATAATAATTATTATTATTGTTATACAATAATAATAATAATAATTATATTATTATTATTATATAAAATACTAATACTTATTATAATTATTATAATATCATAATGAACCCGTCACTTTAGTTGTGTGTGTGTGTGTGTGTGTGTGTGTGTGTGTGTGTGTGTGTGTGTGTGTGTGCGTGCGTGCGTGCGTGTGTGTGTGTGTGTGTGAGGGAGGCAGGCAGGAAGTGTGTGTGTTGTGGCCTAAAACCTAAAATGGAAACGTCCGCCCCTCCCACGCCCACTAAAGTGGATATTGATGGAAACAGAGAGGAAGTATTGATTGATAGGAAGAGGCAGAGAGCGGGTGAGTATTGTCTGTGTGTGTGTGTGTGTGTGTGTGTGTGTGTGTGTGTGTGTGTGTGTGTCCGTTTAGAAGGCATATAATAGGTGGACAGGAGGAAGAAGAGCCCAGATTTGTTTCATCTCTTCTGTCAGAACATTTTCTTCTGGAACCAGTCAGAGTCATTGTGTGTGTGTGTGTGTGTGTGTGTGTGTGTGTGTGTGTGTGTGTGTGTGTCCGTTTAGAAGGCATATAATAGGTAGACAGGAGGAAGAAGAGCCCAGATTTGTTTCATCTCTTCTGTCAGAACATTTTCTTCTGGAACCAGTCAGAGTCATTGTGTGTGTGTGTGTGTGTGTGTGTGTGTGTGTGTGTGTGTGTGTGTGTGTGTGTGTGTGTGTGTGTGTGTGTGTGTGTGTGTGTGTGTGTGTGTGTGTGTGTGTGTGTGTGTGTGTGTGTGTGTGTGTGTGTGTGTGTGTGTGTGTGTGTGTACATGCTGTGAACAGACTATTGTGGGTTTTGCCATTGTGAGGTCACTGGGCGATGATGTAATCTGTGTAACCCGGCGCCACTTTTCTTGGATGCAGCCCTTCCCTCAGTTCATGAGTAGACCAATCAGAGAGCAGCACACACACACACACACACACACACACACACACACACACACACACACACACACACACACACACACACACACACACACACACACACACACACACACACACACACACACACACACACACACACACAGAGAAACCAATGGACTAAATTCCATGACCTCTGACCTTTAATATGACATTTATGTCATTAAAGTCTAATGATCGGTTATTAAAGAGCTGATCACTTGGTCTGAGTATCAGAATCGTTTATTTTGGGGTCCCTCCGATTTCTGCTCATGGATCTCCTCCACAGGAACCTGAACAGAAGCAGCTCTGAGTCAGCTGATGACTAATTAGTCTGATTAAAAGCCAACTTCCTGTTTTTGTTGTTGTTGTTTTTAGCCTGACTGGATCACGTGATCATCAGATCTGAGTGGATTAATCCTGATAAGTGCTTATCCGGGTCCGGGTCGCGGGGGCAGCATCCCAACTAGGGAGCTCCAGACCGTCCTCTCCCCGGCCACCTCCACCAGCTCCTCCGGCAGGACCCCAAGGCGTTCCCGGACCAGATTGGAGATGTAACCTCTCCAACGTGTCCTGGGTCGACCCGGGGGCCTCCTGCCGGCAGGACATGCCCGAAACACCTCCCCAGGGAGGCGTCCAGGAGGCATCCTGACCAGATGCCCAAACCACCTCAACTGACTCCTTTCGATTCGGAGGAGCAGCGGTTCTACTCCGAGTCCCTCCCGAATGTCCGAGCTCCTCACCCTATCTCTAAGGCTGAGCCCGGCCACCCTACGGAGGAAACTCATTTCAGCCGCTTGTATCCGCGATCTCGTTCTTTCGGTCATTACCCAAAGCTCATGACCATAGGTGAGGATTGGGACGTAGATCGACCGGTAAATCGAGAGCCTGGCTTTCTGGCTCAGCTCCCTCTTCCCCACGACAGATCGGCTCAGCGTCCGCATCACTGCAGACACCGAACCAATCCGCCTGTCGATCTCCCGATCCCTCCTACCCTCACTCGTGAACAAGACCCCGAGATACTTAAACTCCTCCACTTGAGGTAGGACCTCTCTCCCGACCCGGAGTTGGCAAGCCACCCTTTTCCGGTCGAGAACCATGGTCTCACATTTGGAGGGCTGATCCTCATCCCAGCCGCTTCACACTCGGCCGCGAACCTACCCAGCAAGAGCTGAAAGTCAGAG